CAAAAAGAAAATGGCAATGAGTAGATACAAATACAGCAAGAGGTGATAAGAATAGGACCCAACCACATGGGTGATCACTCTCATATCAACAAGGCACAAAAACACACCCACCATGCAAACGTTCCTTCTATCCAACAATAAAGAGAAAAATCACCTCAGCATATAATGTGGTACATACTTGAAATGATGAAACGTTCCTAACTAGTCCATATGTATGGGGAACTGAACCCCACTTTTGAGGATGGTGACTTAAATTGCCCATTTTAAACTTAGAAAATCATGTTATTTTCATTCCAACTACATCGCTTGCCAGTTATACATGTGTATGATATTATTAGGATTGGAGCCTATAATATCTCATTTTTTAATGTTCTAACCTCTTAATTATTTCTTTGGAATTTTTTCCTTCCGAGCTCCTAGATAAAATGAGAAATTTTCCAGTATTTTATAGTAATTAAATGGCGTAATTTAGTTTTTTTTTTACGTTTTTCTAAAAAAAAAAACCCCAAAATTTTGTAGTTTCCACTTATTTTCTTTAAAAAAATCACAAAAAAATTGCACTATTTATAGCTGCAAGATATCAGAATGTCCTTTACTTTATGTTAGAAGCTAAAAATCAAAATTAGAAAAAAAAAATAAAATTAAAAAAATTAAGACATTACAAGAAACATCATGAAAGCGAGATATCAGAGCTTAGGAGACCAACATAGAGAAAAACAAAGCACCGATCCATGGAGAAGGCGCAGGAGAGGAAGAAAAGGAAAGTAATATATCTCACCTCCAAATAACAACAGGCATGGAGCCCAAAGAAGACGCAAGGATGAATATCTCACTTCCTCAGCTTCAGCGTAGCCTTCTTCTTCTTCTTCTTCGGCCCTAACTTTTCTACTGCCTATTTTCCCTTCTGCACAAGATCTTGCGTCTATATATATATAATGTAATATTTATGGAATAAACGGTGGAGATATATAAGATAACAGTATTTGAATATATGGAGGTGAAACAACTCGTTTTTGATTGGGAAATTAAGGGATAAAGATGCTCCCCGAAAAGGCAATATCAACCTTACAAAAATCATGTACATCTCTCATCATCAGGTTGTCTAATTACTGACGAAACCTCCCTAGCACCCGAGCATATTCTTTTGCTTAGGCTCATTTCCCAATCCCCGACACTAACCTCTGTATATTTTTTTAATATTAATAAGAAAATTATATCTTAGTAAATACAACTACTGTCATTTGACTTTTATCTTGATTCTAAATATAAAAACTTAATTTACTTTTTTTTCTTATATTTATTTATTTATTTCAAAATAGTTTTTATAATAATGGTAGTTCTAGCTAATACATTAGATTAGTAAAGATATTTTTTGAAAAAAAACAACATCTATTTATTATAAATGACTAATTTAACTGGTTTTCTTAATCTACTTAAATTACTTAACTAGCTTTTATATTAACAACTGGAGGTAGTAGCATTATACTACTTTCTGTTTTTAATATAAGAGTTTGTTTGGCTTATATTTTGGTCCTAAATATAATATCCTAGTCTACTTTGTTTATCACATTTATCCTTTTTTTTAATGTAGTCATTGTAATAATAGTAGTTCTAGCCAATACACTTGATTAGCAAGGATATTTTAGTAAAAACAACACATATTGATTATAACTAACTAATTTAACTAATTTTCTTAATCTGCTCAAATTAGTTAACTAATTTTTATATTAAGAATCAAAAGTAGTGTGTGTATGTAAATTCAGGCTGATCTAAATATTAAGAAACAGACATGTCAATATTGATTAGATAATTTTCAACTAATATGTAAATATCTCTATAAGTATTTTTTAAATAATCATATTCTTAATATACTATAAAAATTAGATAACTAGTTTGTGAATATTAAAAAAATTAATTAATTTAATTATTTATAATAAATATGTGTTAATTCTTATAGAATACTTTTTTTAACTATGTGTATTGTAACTACTCTTTCATGAAAATATTCTTAATAGGATATTTTTAAAAAAAATTATAAAATTGAAAAACAAAATAAATCGAGATCCCATCTAGGATCAAAACAAGCCAATTGTCTTCTTTAATATAGGAAGTAGTATGATTTTAGAAATTTATTAATACTTATATATTATATATATAAGGTCCTCGTTCATTCACTCACCAAATTTATGTGCATATTTTGAAAAGTCATAAATGAAATTGCATATTCATTGGTTGATTCAATGAACAACTCAAAAAGTGATACATGATCATATATGGATTGATTTTTTTTTTGACCAACATCATATATGGATTGATTGATTGATGGTTAAATAGTGAAATGCATGTTCATCTGTTTATCCAATAAATAATTGGATGAATTTGTGTATGTACTATCTTGTTATGTTTGATTAATAAATACTCCTCCGGTCCTAAATGTAAGACCCTTATACTAGAGTGTATAAGGGTCTTACATTTAGGACCGGAGGAGTAGTTCAATTAATGTCTCAATAACCAACGGATAAGGGCTTATAAAGTAGCCCCTTGCTCCGTAATTATTAGATCATCTTGCGTCTGTTTGTGGAGTGTGACCCAGAAATATTTTGCAAACTTGAAAATTCTCATGTTACCAAATTTCTTGACTTTCTTATGGTTGTATATCAGGGTGTTTTTTAGCAACTAAATATGAAGTAAATATTTCTCTATATAAAATGACCAGTTGGATCTTAAGACATCTATTTTATTTATTTTTATTATTTTTAGTGTATTTTTGGTTTTCTATTACAAGTTGCTAATGGATCATGTCAGTGTAACAGCTTATTCCTATTTATAAGTTAATTATAAAAAAAATTTGTTCCTAAATATAAGTAGGAAGTTTTGTTTCTAAATATAAATCACTTGTAGAGTAATTAATAATTTTTTTTATTTTATCTCTGTTGACTTAAATAAGTGAGAGAAAAATATAGAACATATTTTTTAATACCTTTTCTTTAAAAAGAGCAAAAAGTAAAAAAAAATTATTAAATTAATACATTTTTTATTTACGGATTTAGAATACAAATAACTTATAAATAACAACAAATTAAGGAAGTTAGGTAAGTTAGTTAATTATAAGAATGTGATACGTTTTTCTTAAAATATCATAATCATTTTTCTTAATATCTCCTCTTCCTCTTCTACCAAGCAGTCAAGCACAAAATTATTTGCGACTAAAAAAATACTGGACTTCATACGAGCCAATAAGTTACTTTTTAAGTAGTTAATTTTTTACTTTTTCATTTACTGCTAGTTTTTTTTGCTAGGCTCATTATTAGTTTATTAAAAGTAATCTTATTCAATATATTATCAGATACTAAATATAGATATCTTTCTTAACGTTATGAGTAACTGATAATATATTGAATAAGATTACTTTTAATAAACTAATAATGAGCCTAGCAAAAAAAACTAGCAGTAAATGAAAAAGTAAAAAATTAACTACTTAAAAAGTAACTTATTGGCTCGTATGAAGTCCAGTATTTTTTTAGTCGCAAATAATTTTGTGCTTGACTGCTTGGTAGTTCCCACTAGTTTGTATGTGTATTAATATTTTGCTATTTGGATTTTGCACTAGATTGTATATCTATTAATCTTTTGCTATTTGGAGGCGTCTGTCTCCATTTCCCCCATTGCTTGGACACTGCACCCTCTTCATCTTAATGGGCAAACATAAAATTAAAAAAAAAAAAAGACTCAATTTCCCACTATAACATGCTGAACGAAATTTCAAATTTCTCTTAGAAATGTCTACTATTACTTCTGATTTTTAATATAAGATCTTGTTTGATTTTTATTTTAGTCCCAATTATAAGATTCTAATCCATTTTATCTCTCACATTTATATATTTTTTTTCAGGGCAATTCATCCAATAATAGTAGTTCTAGCCAATAAACTTGATTAGTAAGGAACTTAACTTATTTTTTTAATCTCATAAAATTAGTCAATTAACTCTTATAATTAGAATCGGAAGTAGTATTTAATAGTGTGTCCAATGTAATTATTTTCAATAAGAAAATACGGTGCGTAACGGAAAAAAAAGAAAAGAAAGAAAACTCAATCTCAAAGGTTATGAAACTTATGACCATTATTGTGGTCGTATTGTCATTTGCTGCCTAACCATTATTTTTTATTCACGATTTGCCGGATGGAGGACCTATTTATAAACATTTGAAACGCTGAGGACTAATTTTCAAAGGTACCTTGTAGGGTGGGAAGTGGGGTTTGAAAATAATTTAAAATATGAAGAAAAAATGTAGAAAAGCCCTGAATATAAAATTAATTAAAAATTCATTTTTTTCCAAAATTAAATTATCTGCAGAAGTGTACTTTTATTCTCTAATTTTATACGAATTTTTTTGACCAGCATACAAAATTTATTTTTAGTTCTTTAATTTTAAAAAATATATTTTCGACTCTTTAACATTATTAGATTTAAATAATAATTTTTTATAATTATTGTTATTTTGAGAATTAAATTCATTATGTTAATGTTAGAAAATATTTTGTCATATGTAAAATTTTCATTTCATTACTTCTTGTTAAGAAAATCAGGTTAAGGAATAAAAAGATAATCTATAAGATTAAAATTAAAAGATTGAAATGAAATTTATATTTTTGTTGTAGATTATTACTAGTAATCTTTTGAATTTTTTTCTAAATCCAAAATTATACTTTTTGACCAGCAATCCAAAATTATAATTTGAAAATACTGAAAAAGGAAATATAAATAAATCGCTGCAAGATGAGTTTCTTTAGTTAACTCTGTTTTTTAGCCAGATTCTTAGCTAAGTCTTCATCCAATATTTATGAATTAAACTGATAAGTTCACAATTGCTGCGGTGTATTTCTCTTTATTTGCGTTATCCGTCTATCTTGACCTTTTACTTTAAACTCGAACCCTGAGTTGGCTTGTCTTCCCGCGGCGTCGGCTTCCACTTCAAATCGAGCTGGTACCCTCGCTGGTTATCAAGTAGCACTGCATTTCTTCCAATCTCAAATTCAATTTCAACTCCGCCATTTCTACAGTTTTTTAAACTATTCTCCCTCTTGTTCCAGAAAATCCTGCTGCAGTCTTCATCTTCTTCTCAAATCTCATTGCTGCTCTCATTATCAACCTGCTTGTTCTGCGGATCCGAGATCCTGCAGGTTCTCTCATTGTCACTTTTCATATCTTTATACTTGTTCTCCTGGGTAATATGTTTGGGGTTTGTCCTCTGATTTGTTTCCCCTGTCTAGTTTCTCAATTGGTAGCTACTATATCATTTTAGAGGAGCCCTCTCGGATTTTTTTTTTTTAAATTAAAGGTTGTCTTTGATGAACCGCCAAAGACTTATTTGACTTACACATTATGGTTAATAAAAAAAAATTGTATATGGTGGGAAATGGAAGTGGTTTCTGGAGAAAGAATTGGCTTGAAATACTACGGGTTTTTGAAGACGAATGTTTAGTCACAGTGAGTTATTTGTTTGAAATGTAAGGATTCTAAGTACGATATGATATTTAGGATATAGTGCTGAAAAATTGTTTCGAACAAGTTTTAAAGTTCAATGGATAATGCGGGATGGGAACTGCTCGATGAGGCGAAGACGGGGGACAAGTCGGAATATGTGAGATTGGGAAGAATGGGAAAATCTTTGATTTGAAGGGAAAGAGATGCACATTTTTCTACTTCAGATATTGAAAACTGACGAAGACATTTATGAAGTGTATTTAATTTGAGACTCATGAAAGATTTCCGGTCTTCGTGGTTCTCTTCTTTCTCATTGGTAATAATAAAATGAACTTGACGACGCGTGGATCTGTTGAGGGTGATGAGGAATCTGCTCTATATTGTTATGTGTGGATCGATTAATTTTACTTGATGTCTATCTCATGTGTGCAATTTTATTAACTGAATCGGGTACTCTTACGTGGTGCTGTTTTCATCGTTTTTTCCGCTTATATTGACTGACACAATCTGAAGAACAAATATTTAACCACATTCTATCGCTTAACTTGTCTACTTTCTTTCTTTCTTCCTCAGAAATTCTCATGCGTGCCATAAAAAGCTACAGATCCATATATATGATAAGAGGAATTTGTTAATCAATGCTACTTCCATAAGATATTTTGAGTTAAGGTTGAATTTTGGAATTTTTACTTGGAAGTTTTTTATGCATCTTGCTGACTTCACTTCATGCGCACGAATTCTTCCATGTTGCAGGAGAAATCTTCCATATGCATTTTGAGATATTGATTTTTAGTACCCAAATTTGTGGTCTGAGACTGTGTTGAGATATTGAGATCAAACCTGATCGCGACACTTTTCATTAGGTGACTTCACCAGGGGCAATGCCAGCATGCCTGCCATGAAGAAGGTTGTTATGAGTTGGAATACCTTTGACTGCTCCATTTTCATGTGTCTCTTTTGCTCCCTCTCCCATACACACACGTGCAAATTAGTTAACGCTTTACGTGGAAAGTCAACCCCTAGTAAGATATTATATTTATTCCATGTAAATTTCTTCTTTTTTTTCCAAAAAAAAAACTTTTAGTTTGCGTTCACTATGGAAGTTTTTCAGGATTTTTCAGTCTATTGAAGAATTGACTACCGAGATAATTGTTTATCTACTGAAGAATTTATCTTGGCTTGATACATGCGTTCTTCTGACAGATGTTCTTTTTGAGAACACGTAACAGTAACCTTTTGCTATCATCTTGTGCCTGATGCTTGTGATTTATTTCCCGTTTAACAGAATTCTGAGCAGACTCGGTTAGGCTTTGTGTTCAACAAGTTGGTGAATGAGATAGGAGATCCTGTTGATTTTGAACTTCCAGATTGGTTTAACAAGTGGAAGGCAGTATCATACGTCTCTATAAAGCGCAGTATCCTTTGTGAATATTATTAAAAATGTCCATAGTAATACTTCTCATATTTATTTCACTCCAATCTTTGCTTGCATTTCAAATTCAGATTTTGTTTACTTGAAATTTTTCCTTCCATTTTTCATATAACAAGTAATCTTTAGTAGTTCATTTTTTGTTATGACTAACGGGGACTGTGCTTTGTATTAGAATACATTATTCTCACGTTGACTAATTGGAGAATGAATTGAACGTATATAATCTAAGTCAAGTCCTATTAAATTGGCCTAAGCTATTTTGATAAAAAGACAAACCTAATATATACTTAATTCTCTAAAGTCTAACACTTTGTATAGAATTTGAGAAATGAGCAGCGTTATTCATGACTTATGATAAATAGTGCAGCCTGTTTGAGTTTTTATATCTTACATAGATATATAGATAACTCCCTTTGTTGGTTCTTACAAATTTAAGATATATATGTTACAAAGAAGGTTAAGAGAAGGCTTGATGATGATGGCATATTCTGTTCTTGTACTCCTTCCCCTGGGTCTTCTAGTGTGTGTGGTAAATATTGCCACTGTGGGTAAGTTGTCCTTTTCAAATGTATTACTGTAATTTCTTTGCCTTATCTATTCTGACATTCTAAATTATTTAATAAAATCATTGCCGGCCAATTGTGTTGTCTATTTTCCTGACATGTTAACTAGACACATTTTCTATTGCATTATATGAATTCTGAGGAATGAGCCTCATTATTTATAGCTTGTCAATAGAGCACCTTACTATAAATTTTATTTATCATTATTGTATATGATTATATATTGATATATTGATTATTTGGTTATGACCTCTTTGACTACAGTGCTAGTGGCTTGTCCTTGTGAAATCGAGGTTTTCTTAAGTGAAATTTTTGGTTTTCAGAATCAAAATTTGCTGATGCTCCATGTAAATATTGCAAAAGCTTCCTCTTTATGCATATAAGTGCAGACCGAAGTAAATCAGCATATCCTTGGGAACTCGAAGTTATATTTATTCTTTTTTTTTTTTTTACTACAGGATGCTTATGTCTAGCTGCTCTTCAGGCTGTAAATGTGGCAGTTCCTGTCTCAACAAACCATTTCAGCATCGACCTACCAAAAAGATGAAATTGGTTCAGGTATAAGTTCCTAGCTCCGAATTATATTATTTCTGCAATGTACATTTGATGCATAATGTTGTCCAAAATCAGGTTCTGCAATTCAGTTATAGAGCATGTCAATCATATTTTGTTAATACTTTGCTTTTCTTTGTTTATTTAGACTGAGAAATGTGGTTCTGGAATTGTGGCGGATGAAGATATCAAGCGAGGGGACTTTGTCATTGAATATGTTGGTGAAGGTGATAATTATGTGTTTGTCTCTACATAGCCGTGAAATATGAAGTCTCTTCCATCTTTAATGGATATTGCCTCTTTCTCAGTCATTGATGACAAAACATGTGAAGAAAGGCTTTGGAATATGAAACATCGGGGGGAGACGAACTTCTACTTATGTGAAATTAACAGAGATATGGTGATTGATGCAACATATAAGGGGAACAAATCAAGATATATAAATCATAGTTGCTGTCCCAATACGGAGATGCAGAAATGGTTTACTATTTTTTTTTATCGTTATGTCTTAATATTAGGTATTTCATCTAATTTCACATTAAAATTTATCTTAGACTGTACCTTTTCTCCTTTCCTTCATAAGGATAATTGATGGTGAAACAAGAATTGGCATATTTGCAACACGTGACATAAGGAAGGGCGAGCATCTTACTTACGATTATCAGTATGAACAAATGCTTAACTTTTTAGTTGCATTCTTTCAGTTTTATTTCCTCTTACAACATTGCAAGACCAATGTTAAATTCTAACTACATAGCAGGTTTGTTCAATTTGGTGCAGATCAAGATTGCCACTGTGGTGCTGCTGAGTGCAGGCGTAAGTTGGGGGTCCGACCTACCAAACCTAAAACATCATCAGATGCTGCACTAAAATTAGTCGCATATCAGGTGGGTGCATCTTCTCTAGTGTTAAAAATAATTTTATCAAAAGAATATGTATGTCTATGGCTTTCAAATTACCAGTTATAACGTAACCGTAATGGATTTAAGTGGCACCATATTACGTTTACAATCTGTTATTTGACTTGTGAGCTAGTGCTGGCTATTTAATATATTTTTCTCCCTCAGGTTGTAATTGCTGCATCAATTTCTTAATTGCTTTTTTGTGTCTCCCCCACACTGTTGTTTCTGTCATTATGTGTCTTTTCATCTTTTTCTTTTTTTTCTTTTTTTTTTAATCAGTAGATATGTACAATCATAGTTGTTTGCATGAGCTGAATGAGGGAGCATAGTTGAAAGCTATGTATACTTTTATATATTCCATTCTGCAGTCACTAATTTTTTCATGTTTGTTTTTAATTCTGGACTTAATATTAGATATAGATGAGATTGTTCTACTGTAAATATATGTTCTTTTTTCCCTTTTTTGGCTGAAGTAAATAAATAGATTACTCCGGTCCCATTGGACTTTAATGACTAGATAAAATTATGCTTGTACTGGTTTTGGTGTGAACGATCCTGGAGATACTTCTCTTTTTTTCTTGTGGGGAGCGGCCTTGGCTCAATCTGGGGCTGGGAAGGTTTGTTGTGGCCTTTGTGACAAATGGCAACGTCTAAGTAAACTTATTCTTGGGCCACTTTGTGGAGCTTCACCATATCTTTTAATTATTTCAATGTTTATTGTGTGATGCCTATTAAATATACGTAATAGGCCTGGATGGCCCAGCTAGTCAGAGGAAAGGGGAGTTTGGTATACTGAAAAAACACTTAAAAAAAAGTATTTTTACACAAGCCAAGATAAAATTCCTTGCATATACTCATCTCCTACTCTATAAAATCACTTCTAAAAAGCTAATCCAAACATCTAAAGGAGAGGGAAAAAAAAAAAAAAGACAAGGGAAGGGAAGGGATTGAGCTGACCGGGAGAGAGGAAGACTGTAACTTAGTCTGACAAATAGGAAAGAGGAGGGCGGGGAGCCAAAGAGTTGGTTTTGGAGAGTCTAGCCTCTCAAATTCTTAAGTATGGTCGTATGTTTTCGTTTTGTTGTTTTTCTTTAATTTCTATGACTGCTTACTGGTAGTGCCACTGATTTAAGCACAAAACCTTACATGGATTTGGGATAACCTCAGGTTATAGCATAAATAATGTGCATTATTATTATTAGTTTCATCTACATGTCGTATGTTTGTAATCTTTGGGCTATTATGGGTTGCTCAGAATCATAATGTTCTGTCCTTTTTCTGTGTTTGACTACAGTCTATATTATAAAGTAAGGCATGAGAAGTGTCAGGATAAGTAACTGATATAATGCATGATTTGACAACTTGACTAAGATCTTGATTGTGGCAGTAGCTGTTGCTCCAAAAGCTTTATCTTAGAATATTACTCAGTTGTGTTAATTCCACTGGTTCTGCCGACTCAGAATGCTGCCTGATTGTAATCAGAACCTAATTGTAAAGAAAACACATGATAACATGCTACACTTTTTCTAAAATTTAGCTCTATGCAATTCAATTGTTCTCGACTTTTGTAACTACAAGCTAGAACATAAAGATGGGCTAATTACGGGACCTTTTTATGTTATTGATAGGTTTATCAGAATGGAGGTTTGCATACTGGTAAGCTTTTTTTTTTTTTTCCCCCCTTTTTCTTTTTTGCCTTCGCATGCTGGTAAGCTTTGGCTGTACTTAGTTGTTATATTCTGTCTGATAGTTCTTTTAACGGAAAACATATTTTTTACGTTCTGCTATCATTTTCTCTTTTGGGTTATGTTTTGCTTAGTATTTTTGGACATTCTCATGCTACAGTTGTACCAAAGTACTCGCACAATTGCATTGGAGAAGTTATTAGGATAAATCACCCCACAAAAGAGAGGTTTATGTTAGCTGTCTATTTCTTACTAGAGATTCTTCTCTTATCTAATCTATTTTCACTTCATTAACATGTTTACTTGTATTTTTTTGGCTGACGAGTTTATTTGTGATCTTTCTCTTTCTTGTATAGGTGGTGTTTTGGGATCATAAAGCGGTTCGATAAATATTCCAAGAAACACACTGTAAGAGATTTTTTTGTTTATGTTTTAGTAATTTTCACGCGCACTTGACCAACATGGATATACATTTCGTTTTGCAGATTTTGTTTGAAGATGGTGGTGTTGACTTTATGGACTTGTCAGAAGTAGATTGGGAACTTGTGAGATTGTGATGCAATTGTATAGTAAGAAAAACTTTCTTCTTCTGGTTTAAGGGGGAAAAAAAAGGAACTTTCTTCTTATTATTCTGGCGTACCCGTTTATATGAACTTGCTTTCTTACAATTGGTTCCCCAACTTTTTGTACATCCATTGACGAAGCAAAGCACGAAACAGTAAACCGTGCTTTATCATGGTTTGATAACAAACCTAAACAAGAGTAGATCATGCCATTTTAAATGCAGAAATGGTTGTCATTTGACTGATCTACCCCTTTTGCCATCCTTTTCATCAGGATAAGATAAGAAGTAATTATTCAATTATAAATATATAAAGCTTTGCATGCATTTTTCCACGCTACCTCTCCTCACTGCTCTTCTCCTTTAAGAATTAAGCATGGCCTTGAATATTTCTTTAGTGTAAGTTGAGAAAGGAGTGGAAAACCATAATTATATCCTTTCTAATGCAAAGGAATGAAGATAACTGATGCGGATCCTCTAGAATTACTTTTGTAACTATATTTAGGTGGCCGGAGAAATAGATTAATGTAATGGATTATATAGAGGGTCTTGTACTTTCCTGGAGTATGTGACTACATGATTGTAAAGAATATACTTTAGAAAACAGAACAGAGGAGACTAACGTGTGTAAGTTTGTATAGTTTCACCTAGCTTTTAATTATTTCCCTGAAGTTGTTTTCTTTTCATCATGTCCTCATAGTTTAATCTAATTTTAATCAAGTATCTGTAGTTTTTTTTTTCCTTTTTTATTTTAACCATGTCTTGATAGTTTCATCTAATTTTTAATTTAATCCATGTAGTTTTTTTTCCCTTTTATCAATCGTATCAAACTATAGGAACTTGATTAAAAATTAGGTAAAATTATAAGAACCTGATTGAAAAAATGAGTATATGATTAAATATTAGCTAAAACTGCAAAGACTTGCTATATTGATCTTCTCAACAAAAAATGTCTCTGACATGATTTTGTGTATGGTTCCTATTGGGAACCATTAAAACTATGTTTTGGTGGAATGGTTTTCAACGGGCAACCGAACACTCAATATTTTTTAATTGATTATATTTTATGCTTGGTGAGGTCAGAAGTTGCTAATCCACAAATGATGAAGCAGGCTAGACTCACATAACCTTGTTGTATGATTGCAGGCTTTACAAGTCCGCTTCTTGTTGCATGGACTGTACAATTGCCCCATAATCCGAGAATATTGCTGTTTAAAATTACTGGATTTTATCAACAAATCCTGGTTTTAGTTCAAGGAATCATCTTGCACCTTTGTTAGGGATTTGCACAATTGTTGTATCAAATGTATTCTTTGTTTCTTTTCCCCTGTTGTTACATTTTTTTATAGTCAATGATGTAAGTGTCAGCGGTCAATTAGCCAATCACTTGTTCAGGTAGGAAAGAAATGTCCTATTATTTTTTTTAATGAAAAAATGTTGTATTATTATGCATCCTTGTAATCGAAGCAATATGATTGGGTTCAATAAGAAAGGCACCTTGTGTCGTTGGATTTTCCTAGGTACTATTTGGTGTGAGGTCAATGGAGAGGAGGAGGAGAAAAATTTTAATGAGCCCTACTTAAAAAATTAGAGAAATAGGGCTTAGAAATTTTAATAAAAAGAAGTAACATAAAAGAATAATAAAAATTAATTAAAAGCTTTTAACTCTATTTTTTAATTTTTTAAATTGAGTTTATTAAAATTTTTCCTTCCCTTTTCTTTTCTCATTTTCCCTCATACCAAACAGATCCCTAGTGATAATAATATCAGTATCCCATAGGTTTTGATTAAGGGTTTGTTAATCTTAATTAAACGAAAATTGACAAAAATGGAAAATAATTCTAACCTTTTTATATTTAAAAAAGTTGATAATTTATTAATAACACAAATTGCCTTGTAATTGTGGAAAAGAATTATGCAATCAACAAAACTCGGGTCAAAATTTTCAATTGTAATTGTTATTTTGCTATTATGAGTTGTTAAAATATGTATATGTACTTGTAAATTTATTTATGAACATTTTGTAAATTTTTGCATCCATTTTCATTGAGATGTTATACTTTAATATGACTAATGTAAAACCCTTGTTGTTATCAGAATGTAAAACCCTTGTCGAGCTTTGTATCTAAAATCGGAGCTCGAAAGTGGTACTTATTATTACTTCTTATTTGATCAAATTTTAATTTTAATCTCTATAATCTTAAATTGTGTTTTTTGGTTTTATAGTTTTATAACAACTTGATTTGAATTTATGGGTGTTAACTATTAGTTAACATTCATAGGAATCAATCAAAATTTGCCAAAAATATATGAACCAAGGCTAAAACTAGTTGAAAATACTCCAATTCATAAAAGTCTAAGAATAAAAAATTATGATTTAAAACTTTAAAAATTAAAACCATAAATTTGATCAAATCAGACTAAAATCTTATAAAATTATAGGCATAAAAATCATGATTTAAAATTACACGAATCAAAATTAAAATTTAATCAAATTGTAAGGATGGATATTAATATTAGTCTTCTCTGAGTTATGAGACGCGAAAGGTTATTATATATGTTGGCAAAAGGAAAACAAAGGTTATTACTCCTCTTGTCTTATTCGTAAGATAAAAAAAGTGAGTTTTTTTAATCTTATTATAAGTTATTCTGTTAAATTTTTAGTATGAATGTACTATTTTATCTTGAATTTATTATAGTATAGATAATTATTTTTTTAAAGGTGAGTATATTAAATATGGGTAAAATTAAAAAGTTGTTATATTTTAATAGAAAATTAATACAGTTTTTTGTTAGTACTCCTTCCGATCTTTATTATAATTTTCAAATAACTAATTTACTAATACCAACAATTAGTTAAAATTAGTTAAAAATAATAAATAAGTTAGAAATAAACTTTGTCTTCAAATACGTCCTTATAATAAATAAGAAAAAGCATGAAAGAGAATTTGTGGGGAAATGTAATAAGAAAGATATAATGAAGGGCATCGTTAAAAAATATATATTAATTATTAAAATAAATTTAAATTAAAACTTTTAAAATAAACTATATCTTTTATCAAATTTAAAACTTATAAATATGAGTATGGAGTGTGTATCAAACATGCTGGAATTACTAAGGAACTTATCTATTCTATTTATAAGTACTTACAATATGTTTCATATAAATCAAGAAAAACCTTAAATGTTATTAATTCTTATTTAAAATTTAATAAATTTTTAACTTTATTTCTATTCAATATATATTATATTTTATATAAATAAAGTCAACACAATAATAAATAAAAAATAAAAATATATATTTATATAAAAATTTTTGTTCAGTATCCTATAAAGAAGGATGTCTTCTTTCTATCTTATAAATGGACAGTGATCTATACTCCTGATTCTTTATCATAATGAATTTTCCTTTCTCGTTCCCAAGTGTCATCTCCACCATTAAACATGTCCTTTCTACCCGTCTCCCGTAATTAAGTGTCCTTACCAACCATAAAGCTCAAATTAGTAGCCTTCCTGGAAAGTTCGCCATAATCATTTAAGGAGGGTCCTGGTATAATTTCACGGGACACGTGTCGCATCACAGGAAAAGCTTTAAATTCCTTGGGTGTGTTTGGTACGAGGGATTTGACGGGGGGATGTGTTTGGTAACGAGGGATTTGAGGGGAGGGGAGGCCCTCCTCTCCTTAACCTCTCCTAAAAATTGAGAGGATTTGGAGGGAAAGAGTAATATTTTATCATATTATGACTATTATACCCATATATTTGTCATTTCTATTTTGTCATATTGTGACCATTATGCCCACGCCTTAAATAAAATAAAAACAAAATTGTCATATTAAAATATTTTTCCCTCCCCTTCTCTTTTTTTTATAAATCCAAACAAATAATATTAAAATTCCTTCCACTTCCTTTCTCCCTTTCCCTCCGTTAAAATCCCTCCCATTCCCTTCCTCTATTGAGCCAATCATACCCTTAATGACTAAGGTATCGATCCTTGAAATTCTCTCCCCCTCCAAGCCACTTCACTCTTTTCTCGCGACTTCCCAAAAGAATTTTTTATTTTATTTTTGAGACTTTTTTTTTTCCTTATATCCGTTTCATATGACAGATTAATCCAACGACTCACATCTTCCAAACACAAAATCTAGTCCCTTCCTTTCTCCTCTGGCCTCAACCCTCCACCGTCTCTCGCCTCAGTCGCCAAATCTTCGCCAGAAGTTTCCGAACATTTCCGGTGTTTTTACACCACACGCGCGCCTGACATAGATCCACGCGCTTGTTTCCGACTTCATTATGGTCGTTTGCGGTGGGAAGCCTTTGAAGCGGATGAAGTGTAGAGTCACGGCTGATTTCTACGATTTTCTCACGTTTCCATCCCTTTCAGTCGCTGAAGAAGGAGATTTCTCCGGTGGACCCTTCCGGACAAACGTGAGATCTTTTCTATCAAAGCACGCGCTGCTTCCGCCGCCTTCGGCTCTGCTCCCTCACCTGCTGACGTGGCAGATCTTGTTCCGAGTCGGTGACCTGACGGACGGCCCGGAATCGAGTCCAGCGGTGGTTTGTCTAGACGTTTTTGAAGAGGATGTGGCCAGATCTAGATCCGTCTACTGCGATCAGTGCCGAGTTGTTGGTGAGTTGGCTCGCAGTTGTTGACCGATTCTATGTTTCGCGTGGCGATAGAATCGCTTTGGTTTCATCGTTTTTGAGTTTGTTCCGGTTGACAGTTTCCGATCTAAGGTGGCGATAGAGAAATGATATATCATAAACTCTGGAAAATATCGTGGTAATTTCGCGACATAAGCGCAGGTTATTACACTTGTAAACAAGTAAAAATGTGATTGATAAGGCTAATGATGGATAAACATGATTATAATATTGAGCTAGGAACTAAAATGAAGTGGCAAATAATAGAAGTGTAACTTCACGGCCGTCTACATAAGGTTATCGGCTCATCAATGGCGACAAAATCCAAAATATCGGGTGAGTTGATGATGGCGAAAGGCTTTCTCTGTTGGGGATGGGTGGGGCCCATTAACAGAGGGACGGTTTGATGGAATGTATTCCTTCTTTACACGTGGATAGGATGATGCCAGGTCTCCTTCTTGATGGGCCTTCTGGCTGTTATTGTTGCGGGACAGCTATTATGATGCGGTCCAAAGTTTGTATTTTATTTGTTCTCTCTAGCAGAGTAGTTCAACATAGACTAAGAGCGTCGTAACGCGGTCGCGTGTATCTTTGTTTTTAAGCCACGCTTTCCTTGATTTTATTATTGTGATTTCCTTTTTCTTTTTTTCTTTTTCTGGCCATAAATTGAGGTTCTATTATTAATTTTCAACTGCATAATGAATTTTGTGTCCGATTTGGTTTTTCTGACTTTTAACTTTGAAATATTAAGGTTGGAGTGGCCATCCAGTATGCGGAAAACGTTACCATTTTATAATCAAGGCCGATGGTACTTCCATTGGTGGGCACCAAAAGCCATGTATGTGCTGTGGAGATATATTGCACTTGTCAGAATCCAAGTGAGTTACCTCGGCTCCCATTATTTGGTTTTTCTGATCATGTTAGATTGACACAATTTGTCGTAATTTGGAATTTATGTTTTTTTTAATTGCTTGATATGTATAGGGATAAGTGGGGTGCAATGTTACTTTGAAGTAGCCAGAGTTTAAATTATTGGTTAGATACTTTCATGAGGACCTGGGGTCATGATACTGGCAATACTTTGCTCGCTGTATAGTTAAATTTAATGCTGGTGAACGAATGTCTGCTGCCTTCGGCAACAAAGTGGTCAATCAATCATATTAAGACATTGTTTTTTGATAAGGTTTTGATCGATATGGTGATTAATCTTGTATAATCAGTGGAGAAGATACATATCAGCTGCCTACGTGTCTGCCATGTAGGATATTTGGGGTCACCTTTGAGCCGAGTCATGGAGTTAATGGTCAAACATAACATTTCTGTCTGGGATATGGGTGCACTATTTTAATTAGTTTAGGACACTAGACCTACCAAAAATTACTTTGAACACTGGATGCATCTGGAAAAATAGTTTGGAAAATAGTTTGGGATGTTGAGTGCACCTTAACTCTTTTTTTGTAAATGTTATCTTTAATAATTGACTCACATTAATCGTATGTGTCCCGTTGAAGTAGTTGGTCAAAGGGGGCGAAAAAACTCTCTTAGATTTTTATCCGCACTAGGATTGTATGGTTTCAAAGTCTACAAAGCAATTGGGCTTCCCTTGTCTATAAATTGTAGTAGGGGCCTGTTGATGGTTGTGAAGTACGATGGCTTGTTCTCTGAAGCATCCTTTTGGGCAATAGGAGTGGTCTAATGAAACTGTCTGGGAGGCACTTTTTGATGAGAGCTTGATTGAGATCTTGTTTGGATTGAACGTGATCATGCATAAAGTTTCGCTTAGTATATGGTACATATGAAGATAAAATATTTTTAACTAAATTGAGCTAGAGCCTGGATGAGTTTCATGTTTGAATTAGTCTTCTATTCAAATTAAGCTGAGATATATTTGCCACCAAATTTGGTCCTATTCCACCACTCCACTCTTGGCTTAATAGAGAACTTGGGTTGGTATCATGGATTTGCTGATGATGTTAGTAGAGTTGAATTTGGACGTGTTCATAATACTTGACGGTGGATTTGGATGCAAAGGATTAGACTATTAGAGACGAGATCTTACATACTTGCTCTCACCCTCATCCTAGACTTTAGTGATAATCATTATAATAATTAACTCCAGACTTGCAGAATATCCCAGTTCATGAAACAATTATCCCACCATATTAACCACCACTCAGATTCTTTAATTGTTTTTTCTTTGTAATATTTCCATTTAATATGATTCGTTGTATTCTGGTGATGAGGTTTGGTGGTCTCTGCACTCATCCGCATTTGGCATAGCAAGCTTGAGCTATTTTTGTACTTGCTAGCTCTTGTATAACCATGCATCACAATGGCACATTTATCTAATGTGATGCGTGTTTTGTATACTCAGGTGCAAGTCTTGCAACCATGTGACAACCACGGTTGATGTTGAAAACTGGGTCTATCACCAGTTAGAAAGCACAACTCATCTTTTACATGGTGTAGTCCATGCTAATGGTTATGGTCACCTTCTTCGAGTGAATGGCAGAGAAGGTGGCTCTAAATTTCTTTCTGGGTGCCATATCATGGACTTCTGGGATCGCCTCTGCAAGACGCTTGGAGTTAGGTTAGGTTGCTTGATTCTGATTGCAGCTTCCTTGTTTTCTAGTCAATGACTGTTAAAAGTTGAATCCATGGTTGCTTCAGAATTCCCATATTCTATTTAGTTTTCGCCCCCTCATGCCTTAGGGGTTGGTTTCCTAAAGACTAGAGATAATACAATGGACTTGCATTGCTAACCTATTGGGGCTTTTGGCCTCTGAAATTATCTTTTCCTTGGGAATGGGAGAATTTCTTTGTTTCACTCATTACTTTGAGTTCTACTCTCAATTGTTTTCACATGTCTATATGAGCAGAAAAGTTAGCGTGATGGATGTGTCAAAGAAGTATGGGTTGGAGTACCGGCTGCTCCATGCTATTACAAAAGGACTCCCTTGGTATGGTGATTGGGGTTATCAATTTGGTTCTGGTAGCTACGGTCTTACACACGAATCATACAAGTCTGCTGTTGAATTCCTTTCCAATCTGCCCTTGTCCACCTTTCTGTCCCAGAAATGTGATAGTCGTGTCCAAGACATGATCTCATATTACCAGTCTTTGTCAAAGAAGGAGCTTGTAAATATAAGGGACTTCTTTAGTTTTTTAATGGGTTTGATTCATGATGTTCGCAAGACTGCTGCTTCAAAGAATATTGATGACGTCACCTGCAAGAAACGACGTGTGAATGCTACAGGAGTGCCTTCTTCATGGACTAAGAGTGACATTGAATGCGTGGAGGAGGCCATGCTCAGAGTGCTGCGAGCTGTGTCTGGGTCCAATTGGGTGAGCTGGCGTGCTCTAAGGGGCGCTGTGTGCAAGGTGGCCTCTCCAGAACTGCTGGATTATTGCCTCAGAGAATTGGGAGGAAAAGTCGTTCTTGGTGCAATGGTGAATACCCGATGCAATCCTGTTACTGGCGCTTTTGAGTACAGGTTTGGCTTCATTCTGATTTTTAAGCATATTGATCAATGAGGTTATGAATAAAACCACTTAAACACTGGCAAAGAAATTCGTGATGTTCTTCATGCATGGTACTAGAAGTCCAATAACATTCTTTTAGTAATGAATTGCCGAACCTTGTGATATTGATTTGTATTTATTTCGTGGATCCCCTAATGGCTTCCTTTTTTAGTATTCTAGATTCTTTGAACGATTATTTATCTTGCATTAATCGTCCATATTGCAATCCTATTTGTTGCAGACTGGAGACAGGGAACAATTCTCGCTTTGGACTTGCAAGCAATCTTTCTTCAGGCCCAAAGCATCCATCTGAAGTGAGTCTTCTACATGACTTGAGGTACTTGTATAATTCTCTTCTTCATCCTCAGATGATGTTGAGCTATGTTCCAGAGGAGACAAGGGCAATTGCCATGAGTTCTGCTCAGAAACTTATCGACTGCAAGCAGTTTGTAAAGGATTATAAACCTGAGATGTTGCCACTGACAAGCCCCTCTAAGATACGCTTCTCATGTCAAATAGAACTAGAAGATGAATCTGAAGAATTTTCCGCGCACATTCCGCCAGAATTAGTTATCCTCCCTGTAAATGCTACCGTGTCTGACCTCAAAATTGAAGCGGCAAATGTTTTTCAAGATGTATATGTCATGTTTAGAGGACTTCAAATTGATGAGATACTTGGCTATAATGTCGAAGATTCCTCCCAGGCCAAGCACTTGTCAGGATCTATGATCAACGCAGTCCGGCTGCGGGGAAGATGCATTGGCAAGAATGAGTTGAACGAATTCCAAATGGAGCGGGGCATTGGGAAGTGGACTGTGGACTGCAGCTGTGGGGCCAAGGACGATGATGGGGAGAGAATGTTGGCTTGTGATATATGTGGGGTGTGGAGACACACAAGGTGTTCTGGTATTCATGATATAGATCCTGTTCCTGCACGGTTTGCTTGTCCAAGGTGCCAAAGCTGTGATGCCAAACTCAAATCCAGTGGACCCTGCGAGGGTGTGATTGTGAATAAGAACTGCTTTGGAAACTGCTTGCTTGTGTCATCTGATGTTCGTTGAGGCACAGACACCAAGTGTATAAATGATCTTGTTTCTATGGAGTCTGAAGTGGCCTGGAAAGAAAAACTTGTACATAACAGATGGGCCTAAAATATGGCGCCGGATTCAGGCAGGTGGGTTGGCTTTTCAGATGCGGCCCACGTTTTTGTATATATGTCTAACTAGACCGACGTAAACTTCTGTTATCTATATGTGATGTCAAAACGCTAAGAGAAGCCTATGAATAGTGCAGTTCAGTTCCTTGGTATGTGTGGGGGGGACTTGTTCTGCTTGCTTACCACCCAGGAAAACACCCCCCGGGCGTTATTGGTGGGGGTGGGGAATTTCTTTGGGGTTTAGGTAGTTAAGATGACAACAGGAATAAGTTGCTCTACCATAACTGGCCGAAGCAGAGATGCTTGTGTTGAGAATCAATCCAATTGTCAGTATCAATTAGGCGACTGAAGATTTTGGATATAGGACCCTATCATTGAATGCGTGGCAAAAATTGATCGTCCACGAGCGATATGAGTGAAAAATGAAAATCATCGTCTGACGATAAACGGTACCTCCCTAGTCTGAGTTTTCGGTGGAATTCATTCGATGTTCGGGATGAAATTATATAAAAATCAGATAATCGATATGCAAATATTAAAAAATTAATTATTATTTGTTAAAAATATGTGTTGTTTTTTAAATTACTCTTTATAATTATTTGTATTAGAATTACTCTTAATGAAAACTCATTTTAATATGTGTAATTAATATGAACAGTTTGAAAAAGAATATAAATCTGGAAAACAGTGTGTACTAAAATTTCATATGTATGATCAAAATAAACTCTTTATTTAACTACTATATTTAACACAATGACATTAGATATTTTCCGCCCATTGAATAATTGGAGGATCTGAGATTCGAACACTGAAGCCAGGTCATACAAATAAAATACTATAAATATTCTGTGCCCATGCATCTTGTCACCACAAGTTCGCACTCATAAAGTCTCGCCCATAAGCACATAGTTGCACACGCCTTGTAATCACTATGTTTTTATTTATGTGGGTCAGAAAGGAAGTCAGATCAAATCATGGCTTTGCCCAATTGGGGCTCCCATTATGTATTTAACAAATTATGAAGAGTGAGCATTCATGGCATGCAATTATTGTCTTCATATTTATCTTTCTGCTCCTCTCCCTCGCGTGGGATGTAGTGACGTTGAATGTATACCAAAAGCTATTAGCTGTTTGGACCATATGTTCCATTTCTAGTAGTGTGTAGTGGCTGCATAACAGATAACACACACACACGCACACACACACACACACACACACACATTTGATTATAAACTAAATAAACTAACTTGGTACCACCATATTTTGCTGCCCTTAGCTTGTCACTTTGCTTTGAGAGTTTATCTTCTGATGATGAAGCAAATTATTATGTGTTATATTGCATGCACCTATATGGATGAGTACGTAATATGACAGCCACCCACTACCCACATATACATGTGATCATCCCTAAACGCGTTCTCAGCACTTAAAATCAACTATTGGGGCTTGAATTATATCTCATGCCTTCATGTACTCCTACATACGCCTTTTTTCTTCTCCTTTTTATGTTTCGTCCACGTAAAGATGTATCTATAATTCTATATATAGCACTCAAATTTTGGCTCTTTATTACTCTCTCTCTCTCTCTCTCTCTGTGTGTGATATGCAGGCCAGCTAGCTGCCTCTCCCATGAACTCTTATTCCACACAACCACTCCACTTGCGTTTGACTTGCATTTGGTTCATTTTCCTGCAAAAACTAATGGTTAAAACAAGCCATCATAGAGCTATTGAATGACCAGAATGTACAGCACACACATGGGTTGAAGTCATAAAGAAAACTTAACATGCTACTCCTCCGGTCCTAAATGTAAGACCCTTATACTAGTGTGTAAGGGTCTACATTTAGGATCGGAGGAGTAATTAAGCCAGAAAGTTTGAGTTTTGCATTTTGTATTCATGGGGTTTCGGTTTCTAGACTTCTCTATTGGTCTTATGATGTCAAACACTAATTATACGCATCCCATAAGTATATAATAATGTTGATATGGAATGGAATGTCAAACTCCACTTACGCTTATTTTTTGCAACAATAGTCAAAAGTGATCTACGATACATATGCGGTACACTTAGGTTGATGCAAAAGGGTTGAGTTGCTAAAATATAATAATTTTTTTATTAAACTCATACCTAGAGAAGAAATTTAATTGAATTAAATCACAGCAGCTCATCGATATAGCACAACATAGACTTCGTGATTTATAAGCTTATTAAAGTATAAATTGTCTATTAATGACTTCTTCACATATAACAAAATTCATAATCGGCCCTTACACATTACACCTGCAGTTTTTATTTGCAGGAACTTGTGAAATTTTACATGGGAATAAAAAAGACACACATCTGTTACATAAATTTTCCTGTTCATTTGTTGCTTTCGATAATTACATGCTTTTGACATGTGCAGGGACAATTCTAATTGAATGCCACGTGAGTCAGGTAGATTTTTATATCCCATGCACCTTGATATTTTCAACAGATCATTTTCCAAACTGATTCTATTAATTAGCTGGGATTCCTGTTGCAAACAATTTGAATTGATATTTAATTCTTCTTTTTTAAAAAAATAATTTTTTGAGACCCGATTATCACTATTTTTTTTCCTTTTGTACTTAAATGTCATTCTCCCTGTATTAGAGTGAACAAAGGTGAAATTCCTTGCGCGTCAACTTGGGTGCAACCAACATGCATTTACACATGGTTCTGTTACACATAAATAACAATCTATATATTACCTCTTGTTTTCAATATAAAAGCTTGTTTTAATTTTATTTTGGTTCTAAATATAAGATCCCAATTCAATATGTTTCTAATATTTATTTATTTTGTCCCAATATAGTCCTTGTAATAATGATAATTCTAGTCAATACACTTGCTTAGTAAGGATATTCTAGGAAAGACAATACTTATTTATTACAAATAACTAACCTAAACTAATTTTCTTAATCTACTCAAATTAATCAACTAACTCTTATATTAAAGACCAGAAGTACTATATACTAACATCCAAATTATTGACCAATAGGTAATACTCCTCCGATCCTTGATATAAGACCCATTTAATTAATTTGATTAGATTAAAAAAGTTAGGTAAGTTAGTTAATTATAAGAAATGTGACATGTTTTTCCTAAAATACCATAATCATCTTTCTTAATATCCCATCTTCCTCTTCTACTTGATTATGGTTGAGGGAGTATTCATAAGGTTAATTTAGAGAAAACTGATAAATATGAGAAATAGGTATTATATCTAGGACCAAAATCAACTCAACAATTAGATCCTATATTAAGAACCGGAAGAGTAATATTTAGATAGATCCAAGAATGATGATAGGTAAGAAGGAGGAACTGAGAATGACTAGAACCACTATCTCTAACTTTTTTCTCTGTCTCATCCAAAACAGAGCGGAGCCGACCCATCAGTTACTTTGGAATAGTCATTACTATAATTTATATATATACTCAATATGCGTATTGCTGTGCCAACTTTTTTCCACTATATCTATTGACTCCCTTTATTCCTGGACCTGCCTCATACATATAACAAAACTTCATACAATCATTCTCACTATATTCTTCTTTATCCACTGCTATATATAACTGTGGCTTTGGGTTTCAGATGCTGCACAGGGCTTCTTCTTATTCTGCTATAATGGCGAATCTGGCGAGAGTAGTGTTGGTGATGATGAATGTGATGGTTGTGATAATGAGTATTGGAGCACATGGTCTGAGCATGGAATACTACTTAGCCACCTGCCCCTTTGTTGAACCAATCGTTAAGGACACAGTGAACAGTGCTTTGGAGAGGGATCCTACACTTGCTGCTGCCCTTCTTAGAATGCACTTCCATGACTGCTTCATTCAGGTTCTTTATTTCTTTTTGTTTCCCTTTATTAATTGCTTGTCATTGTTTTATATGTATAATGTAAATATTGGTGCTATGATTATATAACTTATTATTATTGGAGCAACGACAGGGATGTGATGGATCGGTTCTGATCGATTCAACAAAGGGAAACACAGCAGAGAAGGATTCACCAGCAAATTTGAGCTTGAGAGGCTATGAGATCATAGACGACATCAAAGAACAGCTTGAAGAACAATGCCCTGGTGTCGTTTCATGTGCTGACATCCTCGCAATGGCTGCTAGAGATGCTGTTTTCTTTGTAAGATCACCATCAACCTATTATATATGCCTAATTAGCTTAGTTTCTTCCTTTTCTTTTTCTAATGAATTATTTGAGGCATTTGTTGGTTTGATACATATATGTATATGTATGTGTATGAGCAGGCTGGAGGACCAGTGTATGACATACCAAAAGGAAGAAAGGATGGAAAAAGATCAAAAATTGAAGATACAATCAATCTGCCAGCCCCAACCCTTAATGCTTCCCAGCTCATCAAGATGTTTTCCCAACATGGCTTTACTGCTCAAGAGATGGTTGCTCTCTCTGGTATATATCATATATAATCCTCCTACTAACCTCTCGTATAGGAGTTAAGTTATTTATTAAAAATGTGTGTTAATTTTTTAAAATATCATTTTTAATCATTTGTGTTAGAACTGCTCCTTAATGGGAAAAAACCTCTTAACATGTGCTATCAATATGCATAATTTGAAAAAAAAAATTGTAAATTTGAAAGACAAAAAAAAAGAGTTAAGGTCTATATCTATGACTGGAATAAACTTCGTAATTTTAACTCTTAGACATATTTAGCACAAAGAATGTAAAAATTTGTACAAAGTCAAAACTTTACTATTCATAAGCTAATAACATAGCTCATCTCATATATATGCAAAGGATAGACCCATAATTCATTTCTACTGTGTGTGCGCGCGCGTGTGTGTGTCAGCAAGAGATGAAATACAGGAAGGGAAAGAATGTAAATTTTTTTTTTTCAGCAAACCAAATTACTAATAAATTTATCTTAAACTCGGTGAAATATATGGAAAGCGTTGACTTAGTTTCAAGTATAAAACAAAGATGATGATAAGCTTATAACATGGAACTAGACAAATTACTGTTTGTTTTTTATTTTCCTTTTTGGCTAATAATATGCTGGAGCCAACAGAACAAAAGGCAAGACAAATGAATTAATTAATTAATGATTGTGCATGACATATGCAGGAGCACATACACTGGGAGTGGCAAGGTGTTCATCCTTCAAAAACCGACTGAACAAAGCAGATCCGACGTTGGATACAGAATTCGCCAAAACACTGTCTAAAACCTGCAACGGCGGAGACAAGTCGGAGCAGCCGTTCGACGCCACGAGGAACGACTTCGACAACCTTTACTATAATGCTTTGTTGAGGAAGAATGGAGTTTTGACGTCCGACCAAACACTGTACAACAGCCCTGCAACCAGGAACTTCGTGAATGACTATGCACTGAACCAGGCTATGTTCTTCTTTCATTTCCAGCAGGCCATGGTGAAGATGAGCTTTCTTGATGTCAAAGAGGGTTCTAAGGGAGAAGTACGTGAGAACTGTCGGAAAATCAACTGATCATTTTCTAGGTTTGATTCCACGATTTTTTGTTTGAATTGTACTTGTATTTATGGATACATATATTACTGTACTTTATTATGCTTTGATATATCAATGGTTTGCGACAAGTTGTAATTTTTTTGGTGTAATGTTATGCTACCTCATGTTTAATATAAAAGTTAGATAATTAATTTATAAATATTAAAAAAATAATTAAATTAATTATTGTAATAAATAAATGTTGTTTTCTTTAAAATATCCTTGTTAATAGTGTGTATTTAAATTATTTATTGATAGAAACTTCTTAATATGTGCAATCACCATAGAATTACCTAAGGACAAAATGGATAAATATTAGACAAAGTGAATTGAAATCTTATATTTAAAATCAAATTGAAGCTTCAACTAACTTTTATATTAACGATATGAGGAAATAGTATGAATCTTAAAAAGATCCATCTTTTTATCTATAGACCACTATGGTGAAAAAGCTTCTTGTGGAGAGAGCATAAATTATTTCTCATGAAAGAAATGTTTGGATTAACTTTTCAGAAGTGATTTTATAGATTTCATGATAAGTTTGTGAAAAAAATTTTATCTAAGTTTGTGTAAAAATACTTTTTTAAATGCTTTTTGGGATTCTCAATCACCCGCAAAGTCTAATGAAAAGCGCTTGTGAGATGTTTCTCTATTAAAATAATACTTCCTTTGTTTATAATTATAATACTCCCCTCAATTTTTAATATAAAACTATTAATTAATTGAGAAATAAATCAATCTCAACTAGCTGCTATATTAGGAACTAAAGAGAGTACATTTTTAACTATTTTTCATTGTTGAGAAACATTTAAAATTTGTGTATTAATTCTTGAGGAATAAGATAGCTTGGCCATAAAGAATGCACTTCCAATGTGTGAATTTTAATGTAGATTTGAAGCCCAACATTTTTCTTCTCTTCATAATCCTTCCTTCCCTTCTTCTCCAAACATTTTCCCAAATTTAACCTCATTTTATACATAATCTTTTACATGGCGCTGCCTCAACTTTAATCATTGTCCTATTAACAACACTAAACAAGCTTACCCGCATATGTATAGGGATTTGGTGGGAAATTTTCACCAAAACTTTTGCTTTAGAAAACACAAGAAACAGAAGAGTATAAATGGGCCATGGTTTTTGTGACACTCACCTGGTTATCACTGGGCTTCAAAAACACTTACCTATTCAAGCCCAATCATAATTTACATAAGCTTGGCTGACTTTTATGCATACACCCACACACAGATTTGTTCTAACTTGATAATGACTCAACATGACTTGGTTAGATATTAGGTCATTTCAAGTTAAGTTGGGTTAGACTAAAAATCAATTTTTTTTTAAAAAAATCAATTTGAAAGGTGTGTGTGTGTGTGTGTGTGTTTTTTTTTTTTAATTTTTCAAGAATTTAGAATTCTTACAAACTATTAATCACGTTAGAAATATTAAGAATTGAAATTTCAAAGTTATCACACTTGTGCTTTTGAATTAATGTTCATACCTTCCAAAATTATTACAGATATTTTCATCTAAAATTTGAATTATTTCATGTTTTCATAAATATTCTGCATCATCATATTGTGTCACAAAGCTATGGAAGTGATAGGACTTTCCTACCTAGTCATTTTTATTTTATTTAATCCCTTTTTTATGGTCACATATTTTCCCATGAATACTATTTGCATTTTAATATGAAAAATGTCATTTTTAAGGAGAAAAGTGTCTATAATATTTTTCTAAAATACGAAAGATTTAGTTGTAATTTTTTTTAAAGAAAATTAATGATCATCCCCTTCACTGTGATTAAAAATGAAACAGGAGACGACGATACGAAAGCTTAGAACTGAAGAAAGGATACTCGTAATTTTCCCCATAAATTGACAACGAACAGGTATACAAGGACCAGTCACCAGTCTATTGCTTTTGTTTAGGCTCATAGTGAAGTTGGGACGTTGTCCAAATCCAAATTGTTCCTGAAATTTCAAGCAATTTTTGTTGCTGTAATTCCTAAAGATCCAGTGGCTCTCCAATTTCTCGAGAAAGACTGAGAAAACAATGGAGAAAATGCACAAGGCCTTCGAGAAAGTCAAGTTAGTGGTGGGAATGGAGGTGGATGAAGATGAACAGCGAGCTCCCGCATTAGAGGAGGGCAACTCATTCGCCTTTATGGATGAATTCAACCGAAACTGCACCTTGTCCACCAAACAGGTGTTTTCCTTTTTGTTTCAATTTCGATCAACTATTTAGTTTTCCCTTCTATCGTATTTTCTTTGTGAGTGAGAAGATACTACAAGAAGCAAAAATGCATCTGTTACTCTGAGTACCATTCTATACTTGGTTTTCCCCCCTTCAATTCGATAAAGTATGTGAGAACATTTTGGATATTGAAAATGCATCTGGACCACTCAGTTGTCTCAGTTGAACGTATGCATTACTGAAAACTCTGATCTTCTCTTCAGTTACTTGAACTTGATACCTGATCCGCAGTAGTTATGTTGGGAAAATTTAGCTTTCAACTTAATTTACATAGGTAACTCAAAATTTCGGATATTTTTGCTCGGTCAGTGTCTGTAGGACTGAGCTAGGGGTTAGATAAAAGATTCTTGACCTGAGTGGACATGAAAAAGGTTGCTGCTTGAGTAAACTAAAGGTTTTGGCTTTGGATCTCACATGGGGATCTAGACCCTTCGATATCCGGATTGAAATAATAGTTATATGCTCTAAAATAAAAATACAGCTTCCCAAAATGATTTGAATTCTGAAGACATGTTTGTGGAAAAGTGAAAGGAATGGGGTGAAGTGGATAATCATCTTATTTTTATTTGGCTACTAAAGGCTATGAACTGTCTTACTGAACTAAATACTGGTGACTGAGAGATAGTTCCTTAAAATGGATTTATGTTATAGAAGTGTGTTAATATTGTAACTACGTTTGTCCAGCTGCACACAAAATGTTGGTTCGCATGCTAGATCCATACTAAGTAGTTGCTCAGAAACAATAATTTCTTGAATTTGTTTAGATCAGGTTGGGTAAAGAATAGAAAGGAATCTTGTTGAAAGATAAAATCATAAGTACCAACTGATTATTGAAATGTGGCCTTTGATGTGCAAATAGAGAGAAAAATATGCGGCTCATTTTGATTCATTAACTTAAGTAACAAAAGGTGGTTGTATTTTCCAACAAAATGAGTTGTTAATAATGCATAGAAGGGATAACGTAAGCTCCTTGAGATGATGAATTGAGTGACAAAGAAATGATATTTATATTTTGAAAAATGGACTGTGATTAAGTGGCCCTCAAGGATCCCCAGTTTTTGGTGAAAAAATGAAAGATTTGAGGCAAGTTAGGGTCAGTGGGATGGATGGGGGGAGATGAGCTGTGATATATTTTAGACTGATGTACATAAGTACTGTATTGCATTTTATTGTATATTTCGCTCTCTTTTTTCGAATTGGTTTCTGTGAGGATTTTCTGTGATAATTGGGGCTGTATTTGGCTGGTGTTATATAGAATTACTGACTTCAATTCTAATTTCCTACTTGCATAAAGAAAGAAAAGTTGAAAAATAAATAAATAATTCTGACTTTAGAGGTTCCCCTGTGCCAACTTTGTTATAGCAAACTTCTACTTGCTTAGTTGTCTCAATTGTAAAACTAAGCAGCAACTGGTAGTTTGTTAAACACAGCCATGCTTTTGGGCTTCTAACTCTGAGGATATAGTCTAGAGACAATGAATATCTGTCTTCAAATATATCATATTTTATTCTTCTTCGAACAGGTAGATCTGAAGGGTTATGATATTTTGTCATTTCATTACATATTATATTTTGGTCATTTAATTGTTCAATTAGAACTGAGAAGCTTAAGAACAGAACCAAAGTTCGCACTTGACTAGGAAGGATCTATCTCATTTCATTTGCAGCATCTATAATACTTGTTACCGTTAAGAGATGGTTTGGAATGGAGCTTTTTTGTTTTTTTTTTTTTTTTTCCTTTTGGCCTGATCCTTTTCCATGGGATCCACTCAAGTGTTTTATTACTTGTTAGCTGTTATTCATCTGACCTTTCCTTGTTGCTTGGCCGTTTATTTTGGATTTTACATTGGACATCAACCTCCTCAAGTTTATTTCAGCACACATTTTTCTTCTATCACACAAGATTTCAAATATTTGTTTGATTCATTCGCCAAATTTCTATCATAAAAATGCCTTTCCAGATTTCACTAATCACCTCTTTCTTACCAAACAGAGAATACACGGTTTCATCATATGCTTTGTTGCTGGCTAACTTGTACATTATTGGTAAGTTTACCTCATGCTTTTGGATATGCATTACACTTGTCCGTGCAATGGGGACAACTGGTAGACGAAGCTTTATTTATCTAGATATGAGGTAGATTATTGTATTTTTAGTTGGAGAATCCTTCCTTTCATACCCTCCAATGCGGCAGATTTGTTTGTAGATGTACAAAGTTAACCCTTGGAAATCAAAATAATATTCAATACTAAAATTTTGTTTCTCACTTTACGCATCAGGCTTTTTCCTAGACACAAGTAGTTCTAGTTGATTGACATGTAAAAAGATAAAAAAATTCGATATGTAGTTATAACTGATTTGCTTTCTGTCACTCTTTAGTCTTTCTCTGCATAGAAAGATAACTGATCATCAAAACTCAAGGATATTGTCCTTGAGTTTTTCGGTGTTGAAATCTGCTCTGTAGAAAACATTATAAAATTGGAGTATGATTCCAAACTATAATTGTAGGTTCAACATCATGAAAGGGCTTTTGATTTTCTCCATTTTCAATTTATCTATCAAACTTACTTTCAGAAAGTCTAAAGATTGTAATTGTGTCCACAATCTCCAAATTTTGAGTGTCATTTTATAGAACCTGGAACCATTATGTACTCTAACTATTTGTGGGTCTTGTGCATTACATGAAGTATGATGAATGAGTCCACTGTTTATGGTTTATAAATATTGCAACTTGTTAGAGTTTTATCTTTCATATTGATATACTGATTTCCGAAATGCCCTTTTTGCTCACAATCAAAACTTATCTGACCAGTACCAACTCCAATAATTATTTCCTCTTAAGTTTTGATTCTTATTCATATTTTTAAATTGCTTATTTATGATGAAAGACTGATGGAAAAAAGTCTCATAAATGGATCCCATATTTGACATTTAACTCCCACGGCAATATAACTTATTTCATTAGACTTCTCAAAATTTGGACCTAGGAATGTTGCTGCTTCTACCTGTATGTAGAATATGTTAGGAAGTACTAATATAATGGCCTTTTATCTCTTACATCTCACAGTCAATGATTGTTTTCCTCAATCCAATCAAGTTTGGGATAACATTCACTCTTGGTAATTTGCTTTCACTTGGAAGGTATGTACTGCTTTTGATTCTTCTATTCACCGTCATCCTACTCGCTAGTACCTTGCTGCTTGAATGATCGAGATTAGAAATGTGGATGTCTCTATTTGAAGTCATGAGATTTTATATTGTGAGAGAAAATGTTAATAGTGAGGATGAAAAAACTTGCAGAGAAGGGGAGGAAGAGATTTTTCCCATCATGTTCCAATTTCTGCTAGGAGAATTGAAGCACATTAAGTCATTCATATCTTTTTAATTTGTCCACGTTGACATAAAATTTTATACTTTCTCTTCTTTTCTTTTCCAGTTTGACCTAGGTTTTTAAATATTATGGGAACATCATGTGTAAAATTTTGGGCTTTTATTCACTTATGCTATTGTACATTGAGTTGTGCTCTAAGTAGATTGATCAGTAAACAGAGACATGGGAGTAGAGTGAAAATGTACCGGAGGTGCTATCCCAAGGATTTGTCTTAGCTCATGTGAATTTGTTAAGTTCTTCTCTTGGATTAATTTGTTTGCCGAATGTTATTTGTACAACTTGAAGTTTACCTTCATAAAATTGACCAAATGACTTGTATCTCAAAAATTAGGGGTGTTTAGCTTTTTTCTAATCCTAAGTAGTGTATTTTATTCCATGGCAGCACAGCATTCCTCATAGGTCCTAAACGACAATTGACAATGATGCTCGATCCTGTTCGTATCTATGCAACAGCAATATTCATTGCAAGCATTATTATTGCTTTGATTTGTGCTCTTTATGTAAGTAGCAGTATAACAATATTCTCTATTTGTTTCCCGTTTTATAACATATCATTTTTCCGTTAATTGCTGAGTACCTACCATTTTGACCAGGCTCATAACAAGTTACTGACACTTCTGGCGATTATTTTGGAGTTTGGGGCCCTTGTTTGGTATGTCACAGTGTTTCAAAGTTTCCTGCACGTAACACTTTAACATTTCAATTGCTTGTGGTTTGAACACATTGCTTAAAAGTCACATTCGTTTGTCTTAAATTGAATGTTTCATTAGTATGAGTCTTAGGAGTGGGTCAATTGCACTGACTGTAACGAAATTAACTGTCTCACGAAAATCCAGCATTTCATTGTTAATCTTACGTTGTGAATGTCCAGTTATAATCACTAGTTAATACTTCCTTTTCTGATTTTGCGATTGACAGGTATAGCTTGAGCTACATTCCTTTTGCTAGATCCATGGTATCCAAGATCTTGGTTTCTTGCTTTGATACTGAATTTTAGGCTACACTTGAAAAATGAAACCTATAGCTTTGTCCAATGAGCCGCATTGCTTTGCTTGATATTTTTGCTGTGCTACAGAAATCAGGTTTGGTTTTGGCTGGTTAATTGGGATTCACCAGTACCTGTCCCTTATTCTCTGTAGTCATTTTGTCTAGATTAATGGAAGCATCATCTTTGCACTAGTGTTCTGTTGCCTATGAATCCATGTAAAAGCATTCTCTCTCAACTTTTGTTTTCTTCTTTCGTTTCCTATGACTGTGTACACATCGGAGTATGTCGTGTTTCATGCAAGAGGCATCACAGGGAAAAAAGACACATTACATTGAGCCAACTTTGGAATAACTACAAGATAGAAAGTTGAGCAAGATATTGTTTGCAATTTTGTTCCTTAGAAAAATAGTCGTGTAAGCGAAAATATTTCCTTTAAAATTGTATATGTCAGTCTATTTGAGAAATAAATCACGTTGAGTTCTCCCCCCGGAGTGGGTTTTTTCTCTTTCTTTCCATCATTTTTGGGTGACTATTCTGGAAATCGGTCTCGCCATGCGATATTAGACCTGGAGATTTTGATGGCATTATAAAAAGCGGGTTTTCAGTATAGGGGCAGATGCCCTCCATACCAAGAAGAAACCCCTTTATATTTAATTTATATCACATCATTTATTAGAGTAAATTACAAAGCCCATCCCCTAAACTTTTTCAAATTTTCATGTCACTCCTTTCATTAATTTCTGGCTCCGTCCCTGCCCTCAAACCAAACCCCCGCCCCAATGATCCCACCGTGTTATTTGCTAAAATATATATTTTTTCCCTGTAAAAAGTTGTTTATATAAATTTCAGTTTTAAGTTAGCCTCCCACTCTTTAATGGCTCCACCAGTACCAAAAACTAAATTACTTAATGAAGGGCTTTTGACCATCAGCGCCATTTACAATTTCATCCATCAAATTTCTGTTTTGGATCTATAATGACTAACGATTGTGATTGTTTTCCCCACAAGTCTCCTTACAGAATCTGAAACACCGTAAAATCTAACTTCTGAAATGCCCTTTTTGTTTACATTCAAAACCTTTTTGTGAGATCTGATTAGTTCTAACTCTATATGTTACTTGCATCCTAACTTGCATCTATTTGTATGTTGAACTGCCTCTGAGCAGGATTCGTTAGTGAGCATATTGCTATGCTAGAGTCAAAATTTTTGCAGTACTCTATTTCTTCCTCAGCACATTTTTTGTACAATCATATCTCTAATACTCAGTATTATCAAGTTAAATTCAAGCATTATCGAATTTAATTATAAATAATCCAACAAACTTTTGACTTTACTTGAGAAGAGTCTGGATCATTTCAATTAGAGTTGTTTTTCTTTCTTTCTTTTTCCTTCCAAAGAAGGAAATAGAATTGAAGTGAGGTTATTCCGAATACAAGATCTAACTGTATGATTGTAAAATACGAAATACTACCTACAATCTTAAATATAAGATCTAGTTTGTAATGTTGTATTACAAACTAAATCTTATATTTTGACTGTATGATTGTATTCAGTATCATCCTGGCAATAATCTAATTGGAAAGTGCTTTATAAATTAATACTTAATTACTATATAACAATCATTAATAAACAAGGACAAAGGAATGAAATCAAGATTAGGGAATGAAATCAAGATTAGCTGCTTAGTAAATCCACTAGCCTGCCTTTCATATTAAACAATTACTATATTAATAAACTTCTCTGCCCATTTTAACGCACCAAATATAGATCATGGAAACATCAATTAGTGCCTATCATTATCATTACTTAAACCTAATTTTATTGTAACCCTTTATTTATAAAACGATATAGGTATCCTATGCTCTTATATATAGCTTAAACATTTGGGGAAATGACATTTAAAAACCTTTGATAAATATTAATGATAATTAAGGACTTTAAAAATTTGGAAAAAAAATCATGATTCTTTATTTTAATTAAAGCAATTTTCAGTTTAACTTCTTTTAGTACTCATCTTTAATATTCTTAATACCCATTTTCTATGTTTTCTACAATTATTTTTGACTTTTTTTCCCAATATAATAATAAAAATATGAAAGATATGAGTGTTAAAAAATTAACTCAGAAAAATTTTAATTCCTGCCAATGATCGTGATTCTTTTTCGAAATTTAAAAATTTAAAATGCTTAACTATCATTAATATTCTTAGAGGGTCTTTAAATGCCATTTTATCTAAACCAGGTTCCATAATGGGGCTCTAATTCCTTTCTGCGCATGCGCCACACGCCTGATATTCTCCACAAATCTAAATTTTCTTAGTCCATGATTATATAATAAATATGTATATATGTCTGCTTAAACTATGCTATTTTTTATCTTGTCAAAATTATTTAATTGATATTTTAACATTTTTAACTTAATTTTAAATTTTTAATCGAAATATTCTTCATTAAAAAATAAAAAATTTACCTTGAAAATATGATTTTAATTAGATGAATTAAGATTATTACTAAAAATAATATTTATCCTTATAATTAAATCTAAATATTTTTATTACATGTATGTATGTTTAATTTATAGGGTTGAATAAACTAAAAGGATTTGCAAATAAAAATGCCAATAAGCTCTAATCAGACATAAATTGTCGAAACTTCCACATAAAAGTCAGTAGTCACTAAACAGTAAAGTACCCCATATTTTTAACTTTGCCGGGAAAACATTTTCGTTTATAGAAAGAGCTCACATACGCCAAACAAAGGTACTCCGCACAAACACTAAACACAGCAACACAACCAACAAAACTAAACAAAGACTCAATATGATTGCAATAGCCAATTCAATTCCCTGCAACAGCTATATATGGAAGATATGATCATCCGATAACTTTTGCATTTCTCACTAATAGAGCCCAACTTCTTTAATTGCCTGATTTACATTTTCAATCGCAGCCATGTGTGCGTGTGTGTGTGTGTGTGTGTGTTTAAAACCTTCCTTTGAAGCAAAAGAGAAAGAGAAACCATCATAGAGCGAGCATGCATGTTGACAAACTGAATCCTACAGTATTCAATCCCGGGCCAAAACTAGCTACCTCCTAGTTACCTTCTTTTTGCTGCTGTTATTGAAACTATTTCGTTATTTTCCAATAGAGTAGATTACCTTTACAAATCATAGATTTAAACACCTTTCTCTAGACCACAACCTTGATTTAAGCACTCCAATTTGAAAGACAATATAATGAACCCACAAGTGATTTAATGTACTCTATATATACTGAGATAAACTCAGCTGCAGTAATTCGTCAAACTCAAACTTTGACACTGAAATTCCTTGAAAACAGCAAACAAACTGAGAAAAATGATTCAGTGAAGAATGATAATTAATAACACTACAATGAATTCAGCTAGTGGATAAGAGATTTCTCTTGGCAAGATTGTTCTTGTTATTATGCATCCACACTTTGAGCACTCTTCTCTTGATTCCAGCTTCTTCACAGAATTGCTGAACCATGGATTCATCCACTTTCTGCATCTTCCACCCAACCTTCTCTGCAAATCTCAGCATCTTCTCCTTCTGCTCTTCACTGAACTTGGTCCTGAACCTCTTCCTCATTACCACCCTCTTTTCATCAGATTCATGATCTGATGAACCATTTGACCCACTTTTATTATAACTTGTGAGACACAAATCATGGGTCAATAAGGGTTTCATCTCGACCTGATCATGATCATCATTATTTGGAAGCATCATCATCTGTGATGGAAGATTAAGAAGATGATGATGATGGTGATGGTGATGGCGACGAGAATCATAATATGGAGAAGAAGGCGTATCATCATCAGAATCTTCAGATTCAAAGTGTTTTCTGTGGAAGTTTCTGTGGCATTTGCAGGCTGAGCATTTGAGAGATTCAGGTGTGCCTTCTTCTCCTGCAGCCATGAACTCGCCACACCCATCTGTTGCATTTCCTCCTATTGAAGCTGCATGGTTCTTCAGGCATTCTTTGTAACTTATTATCGTCTTCTTCTGCTTCTTATTCTTCTTCTCTGGACCAGGCTCCTCCACGCTTGGCCTCTTTTGGTGATCGATATGAACGTTTCTAGACTCCATGCTTTGTCTGTGATGTTCACAAATCACAAGAGTTAGAACGTGACTCACAGGTATTTGGAAGAAAGTGATGATATATATATATATTGGTTCTGCTTGGGATGAAGGAGAGAGAGATCAGACAGAAATGGTACGAGCGCTGGAAGTGAATTTTGCAAGTGAAGCAACGAACGGCAACATCGTCTGTAAACTATATATGTGAGTGTGTGAGTGTGTGTGCATATAATAGTACTAAGATCTCTGCATTGGAAAGCCACATGGTGAGGGCATTTAAAAATTGAAAGTTTTTCGGCTTTTATTTTCTTGTCTTTTGTGTGAGGGGGGACATGATAATGACAAAGAAAAGTACATTGAAATCTTAGTTTTAATCTAAAAATTAGGTTAGAAATCTCTAAAATTATAAAATTTTAAATATCAAAGTTGTTATTAAGGCTTACGAAACTTATAAACAATTTTTTCCCCAAAAAAAAAAAAGTATCAAAGGGGGAGAAGAGAGAGATGGTGTTGGGAGGGCATCTGCATGTTTGCTTTGCTTACAATGTGAGACATTAAACTTTTTACGCCACAGAAATTAAAGATGTCTCCGAGAAAGTTATTTAGGGGGTGTTTGGATAAAACCAAACCATGGTTTGGAGAATCGCTTTTGGAGAATATATTCTGAGGAGAATAGATTTTGTGAAAAAGTAATTCTGAGAAGTGAGAGTGTTTGGATAGTTATTATCAGAAGTACTTTTTATATGTGCAAATTACTAAAAAGGGTATAAGTTAATAGGATAATTACATAAAATATAGATTTTATAATATATTTTAATTTGAATGAACAAAATTGTTAATAATATATTTTTTTACCAACATAATTAATAGTATATAAGAAAACATAATTAATAAATAATTAACATGTGTATATATATTTATAAAATATAAGATTAAAAATGTTTCTGGAAAAAATAAATATTTTTTACCAACAAAAAAATATTATTTTATTTTAAAGATTATAAATATGAAATATCATGATATTTTTTGACAAAATAAATAAGTACACATTAAAACAATTTATTACTTATTATAGTAATTATCTTTTCCGCTTTATGATTCTTTCAGGTTCACTCTCTTGCTGCGTCAGGACCAAATGATCGTAGAGCATTCCTCCACGCCAGCAACGCAAGCGAGTCAAGGGGCATTTTTTGTCCAAACAATTTCTGACAACCTAACAACGAAACTTCAACACCAGAAGCAAGATAATTTTGCTTTCCACAGAACCACGGTTTTAGAGGTTAAAACCATGGTTTCATCTAAAACCATGGTTTCAAAATATTGGAGGTTGTTTGGATAGCATTTTATCCAAACCATGGTTTTGTCTTCAAAACCAAACAGACCCTTAAATTAACAAAATAACCAAACAAGAAAAGAAGAAGGATAATAAAAAATATAAATATGTGTGTGTGAGAGAAAGTGAGGACATAAGCGGAATTCCAAATAAGACAAGTGCATATATACCTACTATGTATAATATCAAAGGATTGGAGTCATAGATTTGGTGGTTAGAAACTCATAGACTCTGTTACAGTATAATATTAATACTACCCGCTCTGCATGTAAGAACTAGATCTTATATTTAAGATCAGAGTTAATAATTTACAAATGTATATACATCATTCTCTAACTCCAAATACAAATTTATGTATATATGATCTTCCATTCTCATATACACATTTATTAATTTCATGTTACCATGTTATCGTGTGTCTTATTGAACTTAATAGACAAGAACAAATTTAGGCTTTACTTCCCATGTGATCTTACTAATCAATTTAAACATTATATTACCTCTGGTCTTAATCATAAGACCTTATTTATGGTCTACAAATAAAGTATTATAATTAGAACTATAAGTAATATTGCGCATGTGTGAATAATAGTATGAGTCAAGGGAATAAACCGCTATTCTCTTATTTCTATATGAAGAACACCGGAAGTATAACTACCTTCTTTAAGTTCTATTCTAACGGAATCAATATCTTTCACAAGGAATCAGAGAAAGATATACTACCTCTGGTCCTTAATATAAGACTCCGTTTGACTTTTAGTTTGGTCCTAATTATAAGACCCCAATCCATTTTGTCTATCATATTTATGTATTTTTTTCCAATATAGTCCTTCTAATAATGATAGTTCTAGCTAATATACTTAATTAGCAAGGATATTTTAGGAATGACAACACTTATTTATTACAAATAACTAACTTAACTTACTTCCTTAATTTCCTCAAATTAGTCAACTGGGTCTTATAATTAGGACCGGAGGTAGTAATAATTTTCTTCAGAAAATTCCCAACAAAAAACACACACTACTCTCTCTTTTCTAGGTACTTCCTACATTCCACAAAGTGTGTGCGTGTGTCTTTAATTAATTCCTATTTTGTTCTTGTTTCTTAAAAGAAAATTCAACTATCAAACCATAAATTTTGTATATACTTTTTCTGATTTTTTTATAAGATCATATTAATTACTTTTATGAGGTTAATTAAGGAATTACTTAGAGGTAAAAGAATTCTATAACTTTTTAAAATTACCCTTTCATTAGTATAGTTTGTTGTGAAGGAGAACGATGGGATGGAAAGAATAAGGAGACAAAACCATATTTTGAAACGAGTCACAGATATTTTATTAAAATTTGTAAGAGGTCTTATGTTAAATATCAATGAATAAGATATTATAAATAGAATCAGAGAGAGACATGATAAGAATAAGAACACAACACAATGAATGGAGGATTCATTATCACCAAATTAAAGTTGATCGATACCATTCAAGTCTTGTCATCGGAAAAGTTTTAATTTGTTAAGTAAATAATAGTATTGAGCACATGTATAGATGAACAACCATGATGAGAAGCGGCTAGTTGAGGCTCACTGTCTCATAGTGGCTCTCTCAAATGATTATAAACCTTAACCACATGTATAAGACTTCGTTGATTATGCACTATATATATATATATGTGTGTGTGTGTGCGCTACTCCAATTTAAAATATACGTCACTTTAGAGCTTTGATTTTGTTATAAAATATCTGTCAATAAGGCATTAATTATTTTTGGAGTGTATTTGTTTACCATTTATTTTCAGGCTATATATTTATATGTTTCCTTATGAAATATAATAATAGGTGAAACAAGTAACCAACTATTAAAAAAAATAAAACAAAATGCATATATACATACACTACCTCCGGTCCTAAATATAATAGTAAGAAGCAATTGAAAATTCAATTTAGTCTTAAATATAATATCACAATTCACTTTGTGTCCCATCTTTATTTATTTTTCCCCCTAAGTAGTTCTTATAATGATTATATATGTCAAAAAAATTCATTTTAATATACATGATTAACAAAAATATTTTAGAAAAAATAAATTAACTAATTTTTTTTATATTTATAAATTAGTTATTAAGCTCTTCTATTAAGGAATGAAGGTAGTATATAATGTGAAAATATTATTAGCTACAGTAATTTAGGCAGGCAAATAATTAAGTGCACATACATAGAGTTTTGATTGATGTTAGTGTAATTGTAGACAGAAAGATTGGGCCTAATGCATATAGGTTTATAGTATATAGGTACACGCATGCCTGCCTTCCCACACTTATTAGAGAACATGGAGGTTGATATTACCCCAAAACTCAAGTTAATTATGTATCACATAGCCTTTAATTTCAATAATGGAATAATTTTTCAGCTATGTACACATAATTATTTGAATTTCGACTTTTATCCTATTTCCCGCATTTATTTCTAATGTTCATTTAAAGTTTTGGCACAAAATTGAGAATTAAGAAATACTATTTATGAGCCAAAATTTCTTTCGACTTTACTAATTAATCTCATTAGTCAAGCTCACACATTTAATATATACATTTAACCAAACAAGTGGTTAATATAATAATTAAGAGCAATTAATTCCATGGAATTAAACACATGCGCGTATACAAAAATATTAATATCAAGCCCAAATTTGAAACCTCATCCAAATGTGTCGAATAATATTGCTATTATTACGACGACTTCTTGTTGACTCTATTGTTTATACAATTATCCTGTCTTTGATACTGTTGTTTTGATATTATCAAAATAAAACAAAAAAAAAAACCATGTGATTCCATTTTATGTATTGAGGCCAAGTGTTGGATAGCACTAAGGTGGTAGCAATTAAAAATGGTTTGCAAGGCTTGAAGCATTGGATTAATTAGTTGAAAGCAGTGGCTTTTTGAAACACACACAAGACAACCCCCAACAACCACTCAGACATGCATAAATATACACTAACTAATTGATAATGCTACTTAATTAATTATACATATGTTGCTTCAAAGCAACGATAATCAAAGCGATTAGCTTAATTAAGCAATGTTGGTCAAAAAGTCGCCTGTCCTTCAAACTCATGCGTATCCGCTTTGAACCGCCCATATCACATAATGACACTCACTTCATCGCCTTCAAGTCACCTCAACATATATACAATAGTGATTGGCCACATAGATTGCACCATCTTCCTGAGTTTTATCCACAATAAAATCTTTCGATTTATTGTTACTAGTTTTAAAAAAATCCTATTTAATGATTTAATTGAATGTCGTTTTCGATTTTCTTCTGGTCCTTTTTAAATAACGTCTAAAATTAGGTTAAATACATAAAAGTTCAAAGAATCTCCGTGTAGACCAATCATCATTGGGGAAAAAAAGCCACATCAATTACTTGGAAAAAAAAATAAAAAGAAAGAAAGCTACAAAAATGTGTTGCAAGTCAAGGGTATCCATGAGATGAGATAAAATTGGGACAAGCTCATCCTAATTATCGAGGCAGGATGGCCTTTCTATCTCATGTCTCATCTCATCCCAATAGTATCACATCTTGTGATGGGACATGATCAAGACACCGAGATAGGATAGGAATGTCTTGTTTATTTTTTTTAAAAAATTAAATTATTTTATTTTAAAACTAAATGTATTTAGAGCATAAAAACTCTTAGTA